AGAAATACCTTAGCCAATCTTGTCCATCCCGCCCCTCCTCTTGCTGCTGCGAAGCCATAGCGCGTGCTGGTCAGAATACCGATCAAGTATCCCACCAAGAAACCAGTCAGAGGAACTCCAATATTCCTCGGCGCCAATCATGGATCCGGAACGAGCCCCACGGATATGAAAATGCATGTCAAATGTCAATGCGTGCATGTGTATTTTTGAAGCAATCAAACATGAATAATCACACAGACCTCAGAGTCCGCACCGACGGGTTATCAGAATTGCCCTCCTCTCCTCACGTTGTTTAAGCACCAGCTCAAAACCAAAAAAAGTTGGAAGAAGCTTGGGTTCCATTGCCCAAGCCTTTTCTTCCGAAGCCTGGTTGGTCTCCCATCACCAGAAAAGTGCTTTTGGTGAAACCAGGTGTGGCTTTTTAAGCTCCCTACAAAATAAAGATAAGGTGGAAGCGATCAATGCATGCATACTGTCCAGTCGACAAAACACAAGCCGGCCATACAAAAGCTATCAAAGTCCCTGACTTCCTTTTTCTTGCATAGCTACCTCCTACGTCTCTTCTGTTTGTTTGGTATTTTCACAGCGTCCTCACCACCCGTAAGGCTTCAGCAAAATGTGCTTCAGCACATCCAACCACATCCCCATGGGAACGACGACCTCTCGAGAGGTCTGAAGGTCTCGGCACCCGATCTTCGGACGGACCCGAAGGGAAGAGGCCAAGTCTCCCAAAAGGCACCAACTCTCCCTGCCGGAAAATGGGGAGAAAAAGGATAGAAAAGCTTCCAAGATCTTCTACCCCCGAGCTAGACCACGAGTCCATTGTTCGCTCACACCTGCCCTGACTGCCGACAAGCACGCCCAGTCCAAGACTCTTGAGCGTCCAAAGATTCATCTCCTCCTGTGCGAAGGGCGAAGGGACACCCCAAAAGCAAGAACTCCAGAAAACTAGCAAGGGACTTGAGGAACTCCCTGCTTCATGGAGGACATGAACCCCCGAGCTCAAAAAATACTCCCTCCGGAAAGCAACAGCTAGAAGAAGAAAGAACTCCAAACACGCGAGGCACGAACTCGCCTATGCGAGGTCTGGGTACCATTTTTCAGTTCCAAAGGCTGGAACTTCCTCTCGCAAACACGCCGATCGTGTTTCGCTCCGTTGTTTCACCGCCGGTGTTCCGTTCGTTTGCTCCGAGCCAAACTCGAGACGACGAGACGACATCGGTGACTCACGGTGACTCCGACCCAGCAATGACCTGCCAGCAGAGGTGGGTCAGAACCCGAACTAGACTATCCTATAGGTACTCCTGTAGGGTCCTATAAGGTCACTTAACCTCTGTAGGTGGTTTTGGGGGGAATGTACTGGGGAATGTCCATGCCTCAGTTTTTGCGTGACCCAAATCCCAGCACTCGTTCTCGAAAAAAACGCCTTGCTGAGATCATCTAAGTCGATCTCCAAATTCTCCAAAACCACCTGGGTCCACGTGAGCCCAGGGCGAATGCAATTTTTTCTGCGATGCTCATCTTCTTTGAGAACAGATCAACTGCTCCAAAACGTCCAGTCCAAGTCCATACTCAAAAATTCCTCAAACTCCCTCAGGATAACTATGAACAGATCCCAAAAGTGAATCCCTATGGGGTGAACTCATGGACTGGAATCTCTATTTAAGGACCGGGGTGAAGGACTACTGACTACACACCCTGTCAATAATATCATACATCACCGATGGGCCCCCTGCCACCATGCCGGGGGCCCATCGGTGCTTTGGTGCGTGAAACGCAGCTAGCCAAGTCGTGGCATCGCCGGCTCTTGGAGGTGTCACTTGATTGAACAAGGCACACCTCCTGCGGCCGAAGCATGTCGTCATGTTGAAGCTGCTTGCTGCTTCCTAGGCATGAAACTTCTATGAGCTGGTGGACCACTAGCATTTCTGTTCTCTGGAAAGATGAAATGTCATAGTGTCATAGATTCAGTCTCAGGTTGATGGGGTCTGGCCCGTCGATCAAACAGAGTGGATCCCGAAGATGAGCAATCCTTCAAATTCTGGGGTGATGAAAAAGAATAAACCCTTGCCAAGCGTTGTCACATGTGGTCACATGTGGTCTGAAAAGTCGGGCTTGAAGTGACGATGTCTTGAGTCCTCGAACCTGATCTCGCGAACCACGGCGCTACACCGGCTCTTCCGCCTGCGGCCCCCTCGGCACCTGCTCTGCATGCTTCGGAGGCTCCTCCACCGCCTATTCGCCGAGATCCGCGTTGGGGATGTGAGAGGGCCCCCCAAGCTCTGAAGCAAAAGCCTTCCCCAGGACGAGTGAATGAAATCATCCGATCTGATTCACATGCTCTCAGGGATGGACACATCTGCTTCCCAACCTCTTTTCGCAGGAAATCTGGGCACTCTGAGGCTTTGAGGAAGACCGCAGCGAACGCTGGAGGAGGACTCCGTAAAACACGCCGAATCGGTCTGGACCACAAAACATCCTCCCAGCCACGTGTCGACGTCGGTGTCTCGACTGTAAAAACAGCCCAACCATGAAGCTATACGACTCTCTTTGAAGCAACGACTCTTGGGTCCTGTCATACGGATCTTCAATTCGAAACAACGCCTCGTGTTTCGAAGCCAAGAGATGCCGCTGAATCTTTTTCGTCTTCTTCGGAACCCGAACGGAACCCGTTCACCGGCAGCTTCCAGTTCCGCCCAGTTCTTCCCAGTTCCAAACGCAAAGCGAGCACTCTCACGAAATGGGTGTCCCGAGGGTTGATGCAAAAACGACTTGGACCATCGCCTCGCAGACGCTCACTTTCCCTCAAATCTGGCGCGGCAAGCCGCGCCCAGTGGCCCGTCCAGTCCAACAAGCAACCGTTCGAACGGGGGGCAATACGTTAGTCAACCACCACACGACCAACGGGGTCACATCACATTGTGTGGACTCAAACATGATGGTTCTCACGTTTAATGTTGAACCATACCCCTGAACTGTACCCAAATCATGTCCACACGCTTGCGATGATGTGGGACCAACAGATGCACACCCACCTGCCTGGTTGTCACGCTTCACGGGCTTGTCATCGCAAACCTGGCTCACTGGAGATAAATCCTATAGGAACCGGTAGATAGTCATCAAGTCATAAAACTGTACCAAGCATTATAACTAAGTGCACGTGGGACATAACTTTCTTTCCTTCCCTGCCACAAATATCCACAAGCCACTTGTGAGTAGGTAGACTTTAACATGTAACAGTATGACACAGGCTGGCGGTCCTACCGCGTCAGTGTCACTATGTTTGTATGACCTTGTGCAAAGGTTGACCACTACACTACATATTGCAACACGTTGCAACCACCCACCAGTGATACAAAGGGTGTTGTGGGTTTCAAGTGAGAGCCCCATGTACTTTTCCTCGGAAGCTTCTTCGTTCAGTTTGCAAAGAAACGACAGGTTGAGGGTCTTTTTGGAACAATCTGCACGCTCCAACCTGAAATCCTGAACCACAAAGGGAAATTCCATTAACATGCATACATATGTGTGTACTGTATATATATATATATTCATAGCAAAATCCTGGAAAGGGATACTAAAAACCAGATTCCCCCCCCTGGGTCGTCTACCTTTGCATGACTCCGTACCGGAGCTGTGCGAAGCCGCTGGCCGGGCCCATCCTCCTTGTGGATGGGGCGACTCTTTCGAGCCCCCAAAAAGCCGTGCCCATCCCGTGCCCGTCCCGTGCATCTGGGTGGCCCCATGAAAGTCCTGCCCGAATGACGGAGAGCAACAGCAGTGTTTGGCAGTGTTCGCGACAGCCACTAAAGAGGAAACAATGGCAGGACACTTATGACTTATGCATTGTGGATGTGGCCATCATGTTGACGAAGGAGGAGTGTTGACGTCCAGCCGACGGATCATCCAAGACTCTTGTAGCGTCCGACCGTTCCTAGTAGCTACGTTCGTAGCGTCGCCCCGTTCGTAGCGATGCCCTTTGTTACTAGTAGCGAACCTACTCTAATCACCAAAATAGCTGTCAGTTGGCAGGGGGTCCAAGAGAAGCAGCGCCCCCGGCCACTTGAATGGATGCTGATGCCCAGCAAGTGGCGTGCCATCCAAGTCTTTGGGGTCAACAGGTGTCTACTGTCTCTTCATAGCCCCTTAGAGGAGGTATGAAAAGGCTTGTGGGTCCTGGTAAGGTCATAAGTCTCGAGCCAAATGCTGCACAGCATTTGGAACATGGACCCAATGGCTGCAAATGACCCCCATGTGGCGAAGACCAACACGTCAGTCAGTCCTCCATTCGAATCTGTTCCTGGACAGCCGCCATCGTCAGACCCCGGAGCGCGCCGGACGTTCGCGGAGCGCAACAGCTGGAGCCAGTGGAGTCCGTGCGTCGTGCGTGCGGGTGACTCGGATGCTACGTAGTCTTTGCCCCATCAGGAAACACCAACCTGATAGCAATGGCCTCCAACCTAGTCTTGGCCCCATCTTCTAAGTCTAGAGTAAGTTCATGTCAGCGACAAAGTTCATCTGAAGTGGTATGCCAGCAGAACCTGGAAACCCTGGTTTGGATATACGGTTGGGTATACAAGCACAGTCTTTTTACGTGCCGCAGCATGCTTTGACGACTTTAGCAGCTACATAGGCTGGAGTTCTTCAGAAGCTTGCACCATGCACCTTGCACAACCATCTTAAGTGTGTCCACATAAAGCATCTAATCTTGACAAGATCTTTTCGGCGGATGTATGACTAGGAGCTGCACGATTCACATCTGCACAAAGGCCTGGATCCATTGAATTTCAGCGCAACAGTACGTAGGTTCAGAACAGATGAGTACATACACTTGTTGGTGTTTGGCGCTTCTAGGGTCTGGCTAGGGAGTTCTAACTATTGAACAACACCCACCTACCAATGAAGTCCTTTGGGGCATAATAGAGGTATCTCCTCCATTACCCAACCAACCAATAGTAAAAGGACTTCTTGCCACCTACATCACTCTCGATCCTCCAAGAGGCGCAAGGACTTCTTGCGACACCAGCGACATGCTTCGCGGCACCTGCGGGTGCAGAAGAGTGCACGGTAGGCTTTTGAAGAGCTAAGGCGGGGAAAGGGGTTTCTGGACTCTTCGAATGTGTCTGGCTTCAATCAAAAGCATCTCAGATGGCATGAAATGCTTGATGCCTCTGACCACAGCCCCCCAATGCACAGCAAGATCCTCCTTCGTTGGTGAGACAACCTGGTGCAGCACACTGGCCCCTGCCTGCTTTCCCAGCTGATGGAAAAGTAAAACATCATCTGAACCACCACCCAGGCTCGTTTGTGCCTTTACCCAAAGCCCAAGTATGCCAGCTGGTCACCCAGCTCCCGACGCTCGCCTTTGCCAGCTCGTCCACAGTGGTCTCCTTCCATTCAGCCACAAGAAAAATACGATCTCTGACAAAACAGCTACTTCAAACTCTGGCCTCTGGCACCATATTGAACACCCCTGTTTACATGTCGCGACGATCGTTGGCAGAGGAACCTGGTCATCCAGTGTGTTCATGTTCAATTTGTTGATGCCCTCTTTACTAACTACATGGAGATCACGAGACTTTCAACATCTTACAATGAACAAAGAACGGGACTGAAGTAACAAGAAAGACCAAGGCATGCCAGAGCCAGAGAATATCCCATTGTTTGTTCTATTGCAGTCCCCTACAAAGTTCCTTTCGAACATCACTCTCCATACCCCGTTGCATGTATAATTCATATATATATATAGATTAGAGTAATTAGTGCTGTGAAAAGAACCTTATCAAGCGATTGTTTTTGTTCGTCCCTTGAGTGGGGCTGCCCTAACAGGCGAAAGAGAAGTGCGATGCACTTCTTTCAGCAACGGTCCCGGTGCCAGTCACGAGAAAGGTAGAAATTGGAACATTGTCTTGCATTTCCAATTGGTAACTTGACAAGGACTTGCAGGAATTGCCAAGGACTTTGTGATAATTGGAACAAGGACTTGTATTGGAACCTTGACAAGGACTTGTAGGAATTGCAAGGTTCCTTTGCAACGCATCTACACAAATGTTTGAAAGCTATATCATGACCGAGATTGCATGCCTTCACTTGATATGAACGCTTTTCTCTACTGTGAAGACTTATTCGCACCGTTGCACACCTGACAGGGTCTTTTTGCAGTTGGAGCAAAGGATGGGAAAAGATCAGACCACATCAAGAGGAGCAGCAATCCCTTCAAGACAGGCTTGATGTTCGTGTGGGCGTTATCTTCTAGATTGATATATGAAGAACTTGAAGAACCACAAAAGGTTGCTGTTCCCTAGGGTTCCAGTCCCACAACCTCAAAAAGTTAATTAGACACCGCTGGCACCCACCCCAACCACCTTTGTGGGTGTCAAGAAAAAACGCACCAAATGCTTCAACAGTGCATCCCAAACACTGGTGCCATGTTGTTTTCTAAATCAGTTTCAGTCCTCCAAGAAGCGAAAGCTTCTGCGCTCTTGGCTCACAAGAAGGAGCTCTTCAGCGACCTGAGCTCCGGAAAAACATCCCATATTGAGTAGTTGATGTAATTTACCTGCAATTTGGGGTGCTTTCCCCACAAAAGGACAAGCAAACTGCAGAGACAGACATGCTAGTGATCTACTTCAACAAGTGGTTTACACTCCCTGAAGCAGCCGAAAAGGAGGCCAGGACGTGCCGGTGTCAACACTCCCTGCAACTGCTCGCTTCGGGGAGGGTGCTTCCTGTTTGGCGCGGTTCCAGGGTCCAGCACCTGGGTTGATTCCAGGACCCACGATGCTTCGTCACTGCTTGGAATGAGTATAATGGAGGGGAAGGACTAGGGTTGTTGGGAAGACGCCGCGGGTGGATTTTCAGGACGTGACGCCGCCACGTTGTCACAAATGGATGACAGCTCGGCTTTTCTCGATGTGGTGGGGTGGATCCTCCCGGATGGATCTCACCTCGAGAGATGGCCCTATAGGATTACCAAGAGAGGTTACAGTAAGTGACCTGACAAGGACCCTACTGGGGTACCTTTGGATAGGGTCCTTCAACTCCTCTGTATTGCCCAAGCAAAGACCCCATGAAGTCGCTTGAGGGCGGAATCCGGGGCTGCATCCATTCATGTTCGGACACCTAAGAAACCGTGGGATGTATCCAGAAGCTGTTCCACTTCACTCTTGCCCAACCGCTCCATATCTGCCATCTTTAGCCGATCAACTGGGGCGGTTGAACTGGGGTCAATATAGGCACGTGTATAATTATGTTGGGCGATGGCAGCCATACATGGCCAACCATCAAATAGTTTTTTTGCGAAAAAAAAAAAAAAGTGAAAAAAGCAAAATAAAAGCAAATGAAAATGCAAAAA